TGTCTATATGATGTTAATTCGAGTGTCATATTAAACATCCAGCTAAGTTTGAATGAAAAAATAAGACAGAATTATAATTAAACAGACTTTAAAAACAGCCTCATCACTGCAGATTAACTAAACACAACTGCATGAGCAGAAAGAATGTGGAGGTGTTGTAGACCCCACTGTGCCCACTGACTTAAAATAATAGCCAGGTTTTATGTGCTGATGTCTTAAATGAATAAACAAATAGCCAAACAAATGGCAAACAGATGAGGTAGAACTTGATAGGTCAGTTCTGTTTGCAAGGTTGGCTTTCGCTTGGTGGTTAGCTTTCACTTGGTGGTTAGCTTTCGCTTGGTACGTTTTCCCAACTCAAGCATGATACAACTGTGGGAAGCATGGTTTTGTTAAAGCTGTGTGGCCACATTAGCCTCGCGATTGGTAGGGGAAATACTTATGTAAGCTTAATTAAACATAACCAAAGATCAGGAGCACCTAGCTTACACTCAAAGCAAGACTAACCAAATTAGAAAGAAAACTATATTAGTCTCGTAGCTCCAGAACACAAAAAAGGAGAAAACTTCACATACCAAACATGTCTTAGGTAATCAACGACATTTAGGGCAATGGGACTTTTATGTAATTATGGTTTCTTGCCAATCACTTTAATATTCTTGTTATTTCTGTTTCTTCATAAATAACTAATTGCGATACTTCTGTAAGGACTTCAAAACGTTTGCCATCAAGCCGACTAATATATTAAAGTAAGGAGTGGGTCCAGAATAAAAAGGCTCCTCAGTTCCAGGTCTTACAGAGAAGCGCTGTGGGAGGACATTACACAAGAAAGTGAAGTAAAGGCACTTTTTTCCAATGGCGAAGGCTCTGCCAAGTTTCAGCTCAGAGAGATGAAAACCAAATGCTAATTTGCACACTAGCCAATTAGTCATGAGGCTGTCTCATAACAGGCCAGCGGACTCATCAAGGAGGCATCCGTATTAAAACAAAGCTTCTCTATTTGAGCTGCAGACCTTTGCTTTAAAAGCAGTCTTCGTTTGCTGGATGAACAAAGTAGTTCATGATTTCAGCACAAATCAAAGGTCTCATCCACCATTGGTTTGCAAATAAGGCCCAGTCCCATTTCTTATTTTCACCCCTACCCCTTGTTTTCGAGTGTCGAAGGTCCAATGGAGCTGAGTTATAACGAGTAGTGGTTGAAATCCTCCCTCTGAAATGGGACCCTCAAATAAAAAGAGCATCACTTCATTAACAGCTACTAGCGCTGCTCTGTAGGCGACCCTGCCAGTCTGCAGTGACAGCAGAGGAGGGTAAAGTTCAGCTCCTCACTGCTGGGCTTTAGTTACATTTAGGGAATCATATGCCTTCAAAGAGGGGGGCAATTATTTATTATCACCCACCCCTAATTCTTCAGTGATATGAAGCTGAAGTCAGACATTCGCCAGCTTCTCTTTCGATTTTCCCGTTCCACCTTAAAAGGTTTGGAATGGGAAATGGGTGCAGAATGCTGCACCATTTAAGGTGGAACGGGAAAGTTAGCTAGCTACCTACCGAGACATCAGCAAACTACTAGAGATTTTTGTGATTGTTATGAAGAAAAGGACGATAATATATGGTTACGACATTAAACTAAGATAATACAGTGGTTACTGTAATTTTTTAACAGAGAAAATTCTCGTTTGTGTATTTCTTTGGCCTCTTGTTCAGCCATCCTGCCGTTTTTTTTTCTCATAACACTGTTTGGACTGTGCCTCTGAAAAACCTCCGTTTGGAGGGCCATGCAGCCCAAACACTTCGCCCTACCCCTCTATCTCAACAAAAATCGGGACACCCTAACCCCTAGACGTGAACACGTAGGAATAGAGCTAAGTGGTAGGGGTGAGGGGACAAATGAGATTGGCCCAAAGCCCGCGCTTGTCTCGCTCCTCTGAAAGTGGAAAATGCGAAGCGTAACCACAGTAACACACTTTGGGTCTGAGCCCTTTACAGCATTCTAATCAAACAATTATTAAGAAGATTTGGTTGGATTGATGTACAAGTCACATTAATTCTGATTGGTCTCTTCAGACGGAGTTTGCATTGCCATGTCAGACACGTGGCCCAAATTGGAATTGAAACAGATTTATTTTCAGTGCGTTTTTTTTTTTTCATAGCTTCACCTGTGTCACATATGAGGAAAAGGATTTTCAGATCACACTATGCGATTCTATTTTGGCAAAATGGTAGGTGGGTTTATCTCTTAACTGTTAAACTTCCTGCCTTCTTCTCAACCTTTACAGAGCTTGAGGTGGAAAATAACGCAAAAACAAATCAATCATCCAACTCAAGGTGGAGCACGAAGAGCAGATAGCTTTCACACACCCTATGCATTAAACCAGGGAAGCGTTACTCCCTGTTTCACGTTTCAAAACCATTTTCAAGAGAACCAGGGATCTGTACCCGGGACAGCCGACCCTGGGTCAAGAAAAAAGGGGAGAAAACGCTCTAACTGTACATCAGCAAGGTGAGCCAGCAAGGTACATGTCTGTAATAAAGTGACCAGTAGGTACAGCAGTAGCATGCAATAAATCCTGGGCCTTATACATTCAACACACACTACCATGTCAATCTCACTGCTGTGGTCCAGCAAACAATATCTGGTCTGCAGTGGTCCTATGGTGGTCCATTTCCATTGATGGGCTGGAAGGGGGGCTGATGAATTATGCAGCAACAGATGGGCTACGGTCAGTAAGCATAAACCTAGAAAGTGCACCTCTATGGTAGTTGCTTCTGATAAAATGGTCAATAAATGTAATACAAGGTAGGAGAACGTAATAAACTGGCAACCCAGTGTATGTGTGGGTTTGTGTGTAGAACACATATTTAGCGGGTGAAAGCTGTGAGTCAACTGCTAGATTAAACACTTCTCTGTGGTGGATTTCATGATTAAGGCCCGATGTGTGTGAAGTCATGGACTACTACTATTCAGCTGCCGTGCAGTCTAGACACTCTCTCTCTCACAGCCAGGTCAAGAACCTTCTAATCACACACTCTGTGTGACCTGTACGCTGTATTAAATGAACACCTTAAGTCCTTTCAGCACTCCAGCTGCAGCAATACGAACAAACTCTGACACCTCTCGAAAGTCCTCGTAGAGGTTAAAACATTCCTCCGAAATCAACGAGACACAACTGCCCACAGCTCGGGTCCAGACGTCTTTCCCAAGTACGTGCCGGGCTCGGGTCACGTTCGGGTTCTCACAGCCCATCTCGCACTTTGAATAGATTATACCCTGCGTTTCCCGCTGCTTTGGTTTTTATTCGTCTTCACTACTTTCATGATCTTCAAACAGTTTTCCGTCTGGCATGCAGTAGACACCCACCCGTGTTACTGACAGAATCAACACTGGGGTCCACGGAGCCCACGCTTGTGAGAAAATAGATGGAAATAAAGCAGAAAATCAACCAGGAGATCAGGCTGCTACATCAGCATTGCACAGCATTATGGAAAGTCTATCCAGACTAAGCAACTTTAGGATGTTTTTGAAAAGCTTTACTTGACTGAAAGCATAAAATGATCATTTACTTCATATTATATTACTTTCTGATCCACAATCTTCAATATGCAGTAATTTAACCTTCATCACCATCATTAGAGACGCCAGTTTACATTTGCCACTTTTACATCACGACAGGCCTGTCACTCTAAAAAAGGTGATTCTTCAGTAAAGAAAACGGTTCTTTATAGAACCCTGAACACCCAAGGAATGCTTTGCATGATTAAAGGGTTCTCAGCATTGTAAAAGAGTTCTTCAGATTGATGGAGAATGTTCTGTATATGGTTCAATATAGAACCTTTTTGAAAATGGTTCTACATTGCACCAAAAAGGGTGCAATACTCTATACACTCTTAAAAAAAAGATGTTTCTTAAGGGTTCTTTAGTAAAGAAAATGGTTGTATCTAGAACCATTTATTGAAGCAATAAACAGGTTTATTGAACACTCATGCATGATTCAATGGTTCTTTGCATCATGAAAGGGCTCTTCAGAATGTGCTGTAGATGGTTCTATATAGAAACCTTCTGAAAAGTAATATGTCATGCTTGTAACAATAGAAGAACCCTTTTGGGTGCTATATAGAACATTCCATCAATCTGAGCAACCCTTTCATGATGCAAAGAACCCGTTAATCATGCAAAGGGTTCTTTGACAGTTTATGGTTCTATATAGAACCATTTTCTTCACTAAAGAACATTGAAGATCGAATAATAAAAGCACAAAAGCCTTGCAGTGAACGGCAGCGTTTGTGTGAATGAATGTGTGCACAGTAAACGCAGCTATTTTTGACTTGTACTTTAATCGATGCATATAATGAACAAGAAAAGACAATTAAACGGTTAATTGTGGTTATTTATATGACCGTCATTCACCAGCAACAGTGGCGTGATTGTGACAGCACTACCAATTTACTACATCTAACCTAACTACAGGATAGACGCCTATAAATCTTTACACGTTTACCATTCCACTTTTTAAACAAGTTATTTTATTAAAAGCAGTGTCCTGTATCACAAATAGAACACATCAACCTTAATTTCAGGGGGTTAATTTCAGATTTCGGAGCTACAAAAAGTCGCTGCGCTCTTTGACACTGTTTAAATGTAAACACAATCACATTTCGTACACTGGTCACGGCTAATCTCGAAATACTGCTATCACAGATTCTGAAATGAGCATATTTACTATTGCTTGTCTCAAACATTAAACACTTCCACACTACCGACACGCTACTTGCTTCATTTAAGCTCCATCTGTCCAACTGTCACTCCGCAGCATGCGAGCATGTCATTAATCGTGTAATGGTATCGGTGTTCTCTACTGCTAATAAGTGCCAGTATGAGAACCGACACAAATATGTAGAGATTAGATTAAACGTAATCCAAAAGCCGTTCAGTGAACAGTGTTTGTGTAAATGAGTGCACGGCAAAGCAAAGAAATACAGAGATATAAAATAATACTCACTCATTCTTCTCCAGGACGACGACATGCTCTTTCCCCTGGACTGGGATGACATAGGACACCTTTAAAAACACAAAAACAGAGAACCGCATAGTCAGTCCAGTCTTTCGTTTACAGGTAGCCTGAACATGTCGAGGCAGGAAGCCTAAAAGCAACACCTTCTCCAAGTCTGCCAAATGAATATACACTGCCAGCTCCAACATGCCCCTCTCTGATACCCCTCTCTTTACACCCATCTTATGTGTTTAGTCTACCTAAAAACATACAGCAAAGGTTTGTCGGATTTTTCACCTCTGGTTTAACTTTTGTTAATGTGCTTTTTAAGTGAAAAGAAACTACTGAATATCATTTCTATTATAAAATTGTTAGTTTTGATTGAACTGCACACAATTCAATGTAAATCAATGAACTGAATTGAATGTGTAAATAAAAACTAAATTATGCAACTTTTAACAACATTATTTTCCTCGAACATAGCATTATCTAGTTAAAATAGACACCAGAAATCAAGATCATTAGAAAATGTTGAAGAAATGGTGATTAAATCCTTTAACCTGAATTAACACTTGGTAATCTAATACTGATAGCGGTGTTGTTGTTCCTGCGAGGTTAACAGAGTGATTGAGTAGTTTCAGCATCATAGCCTACTTTCAGTGAAGAGGTTCATTTAAACATAGCTCATTTTAAAGCTTAGTAGATTTTCACAAAGAAATATTAGATTAGAATTAATACTGGCCGACACTCAAGGTTTCAGTATCAGTTTCGTGCCATCTATACTGACTTTTCATACCACTGACCATAAAATTCTCATAGATAGACTTGAGAACTGGGCTGGGCTCTCAGGAACTGTCCTAAAATGGTTCAGTTCATACCTACAAGGAAGGGACTAGTTTGTGGAAACTGAAAATAACTGTGTCTGAGAGAGTGCCGGTGACCTGTGGCGTCCCCCAGGGTTCAGTTCTTGGGCCACTATTATTTAATTTATACATGCTGCCTCTTGGTCATATACTACAAGGCTATAGGGGTATCTTACCACAGCTATGCAGATGATACTCAGATCTACTTGGCCCCCTCCTCAAACAACTACGGTCACCATGATTCACTCTGTAAGTGCCTTTGAGCACATCACTAACTGGATAGGACAAAACTTTTTGCAGTTGAATAAATAAATAGATAATAATGGACTCCGATCTTAGTTTTAGCATTTGTCAAAGCTCATCAGCTTTTTATCACCTTAAAAACCTCAGAAAGATCAGAGATTTTCTGACTAAAGCAGACCTGGAGAAGCTCATCCATGCCTTTATTTCTAGCAGGATTGATCACTGTAATGGTCTCATAACTGGACTCCCAAAAATAGACAATCAAACAGCTTCAGATGATTCAAAATGCAGCTGCCAGAGTCTCACTAGGAGTAAAAGAAGGGAACACATCACCCCCCCACACTCTTAAATCCTTACACTGGCTACCAGTCTGTTACAGAATAGACTTTAAGATACTATCACTGGTCTTATTTATGTTAACTCTCAGATCATTAGGAACTGGTCAGTTAGTGCTGCCAAAGGTGAAGACTAAACATGGAGAAGCAGCGTTTAGCTACTATGCTGCTCTTAAATGGACCCAGGTGACGGAGAGCATTAGAAGAGCCCCGACACTGGACACTTTAAAATCCAGGCTTAAAATTTCTAGGTTTTTATTTGAGTAGCTTTCAGCTCAGTGTAAAACACTGTTAGCGTTTCTACCTCTGTAACGACACTTTATTATTCTTTATTATCCTAATTTAATTTTTAATTTAATGATTTTATGCTTTAAATCTATTGTTTTAATCACATTTTAATCACATTTTTAATTTCTATTCTCCTTTACTTTGTAAATGACTCTGTATTTTCTTATTTGTACAAGGACTGAATGACACCAGTGTATATAAATATGTTGCTACTTCAGTCAAATGACTGGTTATCTTTACACACATGAGCAAAGTAAGCGGGATATTGAGATCAAACACAGAGATACAGATGTAGAAGCGGAAGCTTTCCCTGTAATCCCAGCAGCTCCACCCCTGCCGGCCCCGGCCTCTACACAGCAGCTCTGTGACTACGGCTGCACTAAAACCCTGGTTGCTATGGCGACAAAATCAATTCCAGTGACTGGGGTTCAGAAAGACTATTAGCTGGATGTAGATTTGCATCAACTGGTGTGGCTCCTATTATGTATATAAAACACAAAAACACAAGCGGTCCAGTGGACTGTAGAGCTGCGACTCCCACAAGAAAAATACCATAAAATCTCAACAGAACAACATAATCTACACTCAACCAAATGTGTGTATATACACACACACACACACACACACACACACACACACACACACTGACCCCCACAGAGCAGGTAATATTATGGTGGTGGATCATTATATGATCGGGTGGTGCAACTATATAGTAAGTGGAGCTGATAAAATGGACCATGAGTGCATATAATGTATATGTAGGAACCATATGTGATATGGTCCATGTCTTTTATGTAAGTACCTAAATGCAATAATAATAATAATAATAATAATAATAACAATAACAATAATAATAATAATAATAATGCTAACAATAATAAAATGTTCCATATTTACTATGTAATTATCCATATGTAATATGTTCACATACATAAGCACCTACATGTAGAAATGGTTTTATTCTTTCAGTTAAAATGAGGAAACATGGAGCTTTTTTAAAAGCACTTTACAAAATGGACAGAATGAGTCAGACGGACAAATATGTATTAAAGAGTACTTTAGAAAAGCACGCACACACACACACACCCACGTGCACACACACGCACTTTTCTGTTCCTGTTTTCTTTCTCTTCCTTGCTCTAACAGTCTGACCCTTTGACCACTCACTGCATTAGATTGCTGTGGTGAGCAGAGAGAAGCCATATTCAGATTAAAGCAGGTGCAGTCAGAACTCATCTCAGACACGTCACATCAAGCAAAGCCAGCTAACAAAATAACAGCATCTACACAGCCAGCAAGCTCTAACAAAAGCCTGTGGCAGACGATGGATGTTCTGCTTTCAACTGAAAATCCGCATCTGTGTGTATCTTTGGAAGTCAAGTAAGATGTTTCGAGGACGGCAGTGCTGTAGATCACTCCAGCGCCGATATCTCACAGAACAGCATCACCCCAAGCGTATCACTGTAACTACACCACAGTTTAATTACTGATATTTATTATTAGCGTTTGAGACAATGATGGCACTGATTACGAAGGAAGTTGATTTAAGGTGAAGTTCATTTAAGTCTCCCCCAAAAAAATAACTGTTTCATTGTATAGTCTATATACCAGTGGCGGTTGCTAGGTTACAGGTGAATAAGGTGGGTGATGCTTTTAAAAATAAAAATAGAAAAAAGACTCTTAAAAAAGATGGTTCTTCAATGGTTCTTTAGCTTTATCTTTATGTGGAACCTTTTTGGAAAGGGTTATATATATATAGCACCCAAAAGGGTTCTTCTACTGTTACAATGTCAAGCTTGTAACAGAAGAACCCTTCTATATAGAACCATCTACAGCACGTTCTCCATCAATCAAAGGAACAGTTTTATGATGCAAAGAACTCTTTAATCATGCAAAAGGGTTCTTTGAGTGTTCATGATTCTAAATAAAACCATTTTCTTTGCTAAAGAACCGTTGAAGAACCTTCTTTTATAAAAGTGTATGGAGTGGCTGAACCTTATCTGAGGCCTTGATAAACATATGATGTCACACATCAACCGAGTTCAGTATTAATGACCAAGAAAACAAAGACTGTACAATTTATGCCACAATCATTTATCATTTTGTTGCATGGCAACCATGGCCTACTGTTCAAGGGGAATATCACAAGTTATATAATTAAAAGGTTAAGCTGTAAACAGAGTCGTTCAGATTAGATTTTGAAATGCTCCCTTCTTAAGGACCTTTTTTTTATTAATATAATAAAATAAAACATTTTCTCTGTAATCAGATGAACGAGGACACTGTTGGCTATCTGTGTGTGAAATGTAGTGACTCTGTCTTGAGCTGCTAGTGAGCAATGAGGGGAGAAACGGGAGCCCCCGCCTCAAATCTCTCCACAAAGCAGGCCATGCCAGATAACAAACAACACAACTGCAGCTTTCTTCATAAAAAGGGTGTACCTGCCACTAATAAAAAACCCCAAAACATTAAATTGTTTGCTGTTTAGAAATGTTGACTTGCTTGCTCACCTGCCAAGACAAAAAACTGCTTCTGATACTGTAAATTATGTGCATTTTCATCAACAGCCAGGTTCACAAGCAGTGCAATAATTCATTAATATTCTGACTAATAGCTCAATCGGAATAGAATACGTCCATGTAAACACCTCAATTGGAACAGTCTTGTCGGAATAATATCCATGTAAACACTTGTATCCGATTACATTCCCTATCGGGAAGTTTGAGTACGTTCTGCATGTTCGTCATAGTTAAAGTTTATAACGTTCAACATGGCGGAGCAGAAACTGGTCTGCAGAAGAGACAAAGTTTATGCTCTGATCTTTAAAAGACGGCGGTGGGACGGACGTCCAGCTTATGTGTCTCAGAACACGACGTCTTCCTCTCGGCCTTCTTTAATAAGGACATGTGAAGGACGTTTTCCTGAGTCTGACATCATTTTAAAGCTATTAAAAACACAAGCACTGCTCACTGCTGCTCATCTCACTCTGACTGGACTCACGTGATGCTTGTTGTCATGGTAACGTCTACACTAAGCGCTGAGTAGAGTGAGCATGTAAACACCTCAGTCTTAATATATAATCGGAATGGGTTCAATCGGATTGGCAAAAGTCTTCGCATGTAAACGCAGCCAATGTGATTTGAAGAGAAACATGCGTAGTGCAAAAACAGAAGGAGCTCCAAAACAGACGCAAACTGCATTTTATAGCCACTGTGACACGGAGTTAAAGTCTATCCATGGTGAAGGGGTACATGCAGGGTGTTCTAAGGCAAAATAGTCCCAAAAAAAAACTATTTTGCAGATTTTCCACTATTTTACCATCATCATCATCATTACATATAAAACCTCAGAAGACTTGTGTAGGTTCACTGGTGGTTTTGGATTATAAATAAAATGGCTATATCTGTGTTGTAGACATTTAGACCCCTGGTTCCTATCAGCACCACTGTAAAGAAATCAGAGTACGTTTCTCTAAAGTGAACCATTTCACATCAAACCACTCTGAATGACTTTTTTTGCAACTGAATTCTGCTGAAATGTTGAAAAACCTGGGGAAATCCACTTTAAATATTCCAGCATAGTTTACATTAGACTATTAGACTCGTCTGACTAGGTTGTCTCTCTATATTTTTGCTCTGGTGAATTTTAGTAATTGTGGTCCAACTTCTGCTCCTCAATGACACAGAGGTGAGAGCTGCTGTAAGTGAGAGAGCGTGTTTGGACTGGGCTGACGGTCTGTGTCTCGGTGCGGCGCGGGGTGCTCACGCCCAGCACGGCTCTGGCACAAACAGACTTTTATTAAGGACGCTCCTGCTGGCTGGGCATCTGGGCGAGGCAGATGGTTCCTGTAGCATTATCTTACCTTCACCACTGCAGAGTGAGAGAACGAGGGAGGAAGGATGGATGTGAGAGAGCGAGGGATGGGTCACGAGTGACAGGAAGAGGAAGAGAGAGAGGGTGCTGAGAAAGAGGACTTTGATAACTGAGCATGAGCGAGAAGGATGGAGTCAAGAAGCATTTATGGATCTGGGAAAAGTTTGAGGTTGGTCTGAAAGTGTAATTTAAAGGGCTCGTATCATACATACATACATACATCATCTAAACCGCTTATCCTTCTGGGTCGCGGTGGGCTCGTATCATAGAAAACCGAATTCGGCTCCCTTTTTGTGCACATTTTTGAAATCTACTGTTCATTCTCTGGTCCAAATTGTCCATCTACAGAAATTAGGCTTTGAAAGCAGCTCATTTTGGATTCACTGCTTTTGTGATGTCACAAAAACAACATATATATATATATGTATATATATATAAGAACCTAAAAAACCACCCAGCTCGGAAAGCTTTTTGAATAAAACACAACTCAGAGCAGCCAATCAGAACACATGTAATTTACATACAGTTGTGTGCAAAAGTTTGGGCACCCCCTGGTCAGGTTTTACTGAGTTTCTAAGTGAAAATGGGTTAACACATTCTCTATAGTGAACACACTTGTGCACATTTTAATGCACAATCACAATCACTTTGCATTTGCAATCATTATATTTGATACGTTTTAGGCCAAAAGTTTATCACAAGATTATCGTAAAACAATCTCTCAGGCAGTATATGTGTAAACTTTTCATGTGAGCTTTTAGGTACATTATATGGTTTGGACGTCTGGTTCCTATCAGCACCACTGTGAACAATTCTGACTGGGCAACATTCTCTAGAACAGAGACTTTCACTTCAAGCCACTCTTAATAACTGTTTACATCTTAATGATTGAACTGAGCAGAAATTTTTAAAGATTTTGGTGGCATTCCCCTTAACACCCAGAATGCAGGGAACGGTGATCAGTTTTAGGGAAAACAATTTGACAAACATCTGTAGGTTGATAATTACAGTATGTTATTTACAGATTTATAACTGTGTCGTTACCAAAATACAGTAAACATTTATTAAAATACCTGAATTTGGTGTTTAGTTTATAATATCCGAATGTTCACTGTGGAGGTTTATATTGTATTTAAAGTAATAAAAATCATAATACGACAAGTGGTTCCATGTGTGTTTGCGAAGCTGAAACAGCTTAGGAACAGATGATACATTCTTTACCCATGAACTAATGGAACTACTGAACTGCACTGCAGTGCTGGACTCTTTCCACATAAAGTTGGATTTCAGGAATTGTCTTTTGTGTGAAACCAAACAGTACATTAAAACGTGTGCATTGTGACGCGTTACCTTGTCGGCCGCTGCAGTGTCCTGCTCTCTCCTCTGTCTGCTGATACGTTTTGGTATGCTCACTTCATACGAGGAGAACTGAGACGTCTGAGTGGCTGAACCTGCAGGAAAAAAAATAAAAATCATTGTCAGAGGTTTCAAGAACATAGATGCCTATGTGGACAAACAGAAGTACACTATTATCTACTATATATAAGTAAACCATAAGTAATTGTATGTAGATCTCTAATCACAGTTGTTCAGATTTTAATGTGTTCATTCTTTGCCTTTGTTGCAGCTTCTGTTCTTCTCAGGAGACTCACTTTCAGTTTTTCTAAGAAACCACACCAGGACTAACGAATACACACCCACACCCACACCCCCCTATATATATTATATATATATATATATATATATATATATAGTTGAAGGGAAGTTCAAGAAGTTAAATTTTTATGAATTTTCTGCATAATTAAATGGTTAAGAAGTAAACAAAGCCATTCAGAGTGGTTTGGTGTGAAACGCTCTGTTCTAGAGAAACTTTCAGAGTCAGAATTGTTCACAGTGTTGGTGATAGGAACCAGACGTCTGAAAAGTTTAATGCCTCTAAAAACTCTTTCGCAGGAAGCAATTCCATGAAATGGTTATGAACACACTGACTGATGCCTGAGGCATTAATTTATGATAGTTTTAAAAGGTTCTGGTCAAAATATGGTTTTCACTTTACCATATTTTTAACACTGTCAACATTACACATAAAAACTTTTGGACAGTCTGTATTTGTGCTGTAGACATGGAGACCCCTGGTTCCTATCACCACCACTGTGAAGAGATCAGAGTCTGTAAGTATCAAACCACTCTGAATGACTCTCTGTTCACTCTGCTAATCTCACCGATGTAATTACACAGAAAAATCAGCTGAATCCCGCTTTACGTAGCAGGTTCACTTAAAATAATGCATTATCAACACTGAGGAATGCTGAGGAAATGACTGGAAGCAATGCTGTCTCAGTAAGACTGCGCAATAAAAGTTCAAATAAAAGTTTCACTCAGTTCTGCCACCATTCATTCCTCTCCCTCCGCTGTGACAGAGACATTAGTCAGCAGTCGGATGAGCTGAGTTGGCCTGGGCTGGGCTGCTTTCCTGAATGGGGCAAAGGCTAGATAAGGCAGAACAAAGCACTGTGTACACGCATACACACAGGGATGCTTCAATACACTCACCCTCTCTCCCTCTCTCTCTCTCTCTCTCTCTTTCTCTCATGGTGCATGCATGTAACAAACGTCAATTAAACGAGATCAGTGTCTTTCTCATTCTGCAGTACACAGACCTAAAGCCAAGATGAACTCGAAACTGACCTTTTTTAACCTGGACGTTTAGGTTGCTGGTCATATTACAGATCACATATGAAAAGAACTTTCCTTGTTTTAATAAAACACTTTTATGTTGTATATCAACATCAATAAATCCCTCGTCTGTTCATTCAGTCCATGTATTCAAAACAAACAAATGAAAACAGCCTGTTTTCAATTCATCGTGCTATTCAGCAGTTTCACTCACACTGAAGTTACAAGGAGTCTTTCAGCCTGGACTGCTTGTTGAATGAGGCAGCCAATCAGAACAAGAGGTCATTTACATATACCAGCTTTAAGGGCACAGTAACAAAGACAGCCTTTAAACTCTAAGGGATAAAGAGAGGCTGGATAATGGTCATGTAAAATGAATTCTGACTGGTTTTTGTATATAAAATTACACAACTGCTATAAGTGGACCTCATGGGAAAAAATAAAATACATAAAAATGTAGGACATGTAATAACAACAAAGTAGAATGCGTTATAATGGGATTGTGTTGAATTTATAACAATATAGAATGATTATAAACTTCAAAAGCAAGCGTTCCCTGCAGAGCTTCCTTGCTACAAAAGTTCCGAACTCAAGTCTAGCATGCCTGGATCTCAGATACTCTTAAATGCCATTAAGTAGAAGCTATTCAGGGCGTTTTTGTTACAGTTCTTAAGCTCGACTGGTTAGAGCTTAGCATGACAAGCTGCACTCCACTTCCACTTTATAAGCGCATCACAGAGGCCTGCATCATATCTGAAGTTAGCCTGCAAGTAAAATGACACTTGCAAAGCTTACATTCCACCTCACTGCAATCATCTCCACATATGTTAGACAGTGGTGGACGAAGTACACAAACCATGTACTTGAGTTAAAGTAGAGAGACCCAAGGTAAAATATTACTCCAGTAAAAGTAGAAGTTCCTCCCTTTAGACCTCCACTTGAGTAAAAGTACAAAAGCATTTGCCTTCAAATGTACTTAAGTATCAAAAGTAAAAGTACTAAAAGATTAATTATGATTTTAATGTCCTATTATCATTTTTATAACAAGACTCGCTTCATTAACTCACTTTAGGTGAAAATACTCCAGTGTCTCTCTTGGTAAACCAGTCTTTTAATAGAAGGTCATTAATTAGTGACGCTGATGTCTATTAAAATTATCATAAACACAAAACACTGAAGGTGAACAGTTTCCATCAGGTAGAACTGAGTGGCTCTGAAATCACTTTTTACAAACAAGCAAAGTTTCAGTTTAAGATTTGTTTGAACTTAGTTACAAGTTTAAGTTTAATAAAAACTTTAAACTCAGATTCACAAATGAGTTTCCTTTACTAAACTGCATCTGTAGGTCTCTGTTCATAAACATAAACTAGCCAAAATGAATTTACTATAAAATGAAATCGTGTTTGTATAAATTCAGAAAATAGTCACGTCAGTCACAACTGCATATGAGTACATATTTCTATATTGTGGTCTATTTACACAAAGTTAGGTTAGTTCATCATTTATGTTGAATAGACTCTCCCAAAATTTTATGCTGCTGCACTGACGTTGAACCGTGTGCTGCACTGGGTCGGTATGTCCAGCTCAAAACAAAGTGACCGCTGTGCCCTGATTGGTTTTCTTGCTTCGCGCTTCCTTCGTTTTGACATGTTACGTTTTTATACACACATAAACCAAAAGGAACGACAGATTTCTCATAATGTAGCGGAGTAAAAAGTGAGATATTTGACTTTGAAATGTAGTGGAGTGAAAGTAAAAAGTCGCCCAAAATGGAAAAACTTCAGTAAAGTACAGATACACAAAAAACTACTTAAGTACAGAAACTAATTCCATTTACTTCGTTACTGTCCACCACTGATTTTAAAGTGCACCCACAGGGAGGACTTTTCAGTATTTTTTTCTCCCTGTGTTGCACACACTTCGCTCTTCAGTAACCAGGTCAAGAATGGTGAACGTGAACATCACGTTAAATAGGAAAGAACACTAAACACCCATACTGACAGCCTTTCAGCTACACGGTACCAGAAATACCAGTTACAACTACAGCACACTTTATAGTGACATACACAAATATGCTATTAGCTGCCTGACAGCCCATTTAGAATCTCAATACAATAAGAAGAAACTACACTAAACAACCAAGAGTCTAGACACCTGCTCACGCAGCGCTTCCTCAGAAATGAAGGGTATTAATAGGGAGTTTGTCCCCATTTGCTGCAGTAACAGCCTCTACTCTTCTGAGAAGGCTTTACACTAGATGTTGGAACATTGCTGAGAGGATGTGATTGCATTCAGCCACAAGAGCATTACTGAGGCCAGATACTGATGTCGGATCATCAGTTCTGGACACTCCACCTCATCCCAAAGGTATTGGATGGAGCTCAATCACTCCAGAGAACCACACAGCCCAATGCTGGGGGGCTTTTTACCCCTCTAGCCAATGACTGGCATTGCTCCACAGTGGCCATTGCTTTTCTATGAAGACTGTGCAAGCTTTGTGGGCGCACCTTACAGTAGCATGTGTAATACTCTTATAATCACTTTCCTACAGCATTCCTGTAGTACTGTCCTACAGTAATCTATGATACACATGTAGTATCATTTAGTAAACTATAACAATTGTCTGAATTTAGAAGATTCTTATAGCGGGGTGGGCGATATGGCAAAAGTGGCATATCACGATATTTCAAGACATTTTTACGACACACAATATGCATCACAAGGTCACGCTTTTCTGAGATTTAATGAACGCAACAGACAAAACAGACCCTGTAGTGGCGCATACATAAAATACTATAACAGCAGTAATAATAATAAACCTACAATGATTTTTCTCAGTGTTTACAAACCACACTGCACTAAATCCAACTAAACAGGATCAATTTTGCTCGTTTTGTAATGAAACCTGTAGTTATTCAGTTCTTTAAGTACTGACGATACCCACAATATGCTCAGAAAAGGGCACCATGACGTGATTTATCACGATAACATCAAAATATCACCAAAATGCCCACCCCTACTTACAGTGATCCTAGAGTTTTGAGGATCTTTTTCATCAGGGAACATCTCAACCAACAATGCTAGCTGATTTAGGGTGTTTGTACTCGTAGTTCGGTTCTCTTGGTCCAGAAAATGATACAAATTACTGCAGTTTAGTGCTGGTGCGCTTAGTGTTCACACTGACGTTTAACATCGAACCAGAAGATTAAAAGAAAAGTCATAGAAATTAAAAGGTCCCAACTGATCGGGCTGATTTTATGACGCTCAATAACTGTGATAATGTCCACTAAACTTCCTGAATCATGCTGCTCTCTGTGCTGGTCGGTTTTATTTATGTCTTCTCCTAATCTGTCTCAGAGCAATAAGCCACGAGGCTCCCTGCGTCACCGTGGCTTCGCTCAACCCGAAGCAAAGGGAAATGCTTGTGATGGACTCGATTGGCTCAGTGCTTTTACAAAACGGAGAAACCTTGGGGCTTTAATACATAATATAATTTATGCGTTTGGTCAAATGTGCATATCGAGTATTTAATAATAACCTCAGCCTCATTTTAAAACCCACTTGTTCTATAATTATCATTTCAGAGCGTATGAAGAGATGAAAAAGCACATGCACGTGTCAAAACAGCAGCAGAAACTCATCAAAGACATTCTGCAGAGATCAGATGACACTTCATACTGTCTTTGGTCTGCATTGTGTTCAGAGTTTGTTTTAAAGCGAACCGAGACTGACCTGCTCAGAGGGTTTCATCTGCTTATTTGGTGCACCAAAGTTG